TAGCCTGAAGTGGCGAAAAGTCTTGCCTACATATTTTAGGCCACAGGAGCAAGACAGTAGGTAAACTACTCCTGTTGTGTTACAATTAAAGAAGGAACGTGGTTTGAAATTCATTAAGCCCTTGCTGTCAGAGGCCCTCTTGGTAATAAGCGGGCATGCACTGCAGTGACCACATTGGAAAGAACCCATTGGTAGGTATTTTTGAAAATAACCTGACGGGGACGTAGTTGAGAGGTGACTAGGTGCTAGGATATCTCTCAAGTTTTTGCCCCTCCGTGCTGTAATTGAAGGGAGTGATGGCAGAATTTCCTTCAGATGCTTATCTGATTGGAGGATAGGCCAGAATTTTTTAAAGACATTCAGCATAGTGTCCCATCCTGCATCATATGTACCTATGCAGCGTATTTTATTTTCCTCAGTCTTACGACCCCCATCTGTAATTAGGGTTTCCCGTTCAGTGTGGATTGCCCTCAGATAGGCTCTTTTTAGAACCCTATTTGGGTAACCTTTGGCCTTAAACATGTGACGCAGCTCATTTGCTTTTAATTTGAACTCCTCCATCGTGGAGCAGTTTTGTCGAAGTCTCAAATATTGGCCTATTGGGATACCGGATTTGAGTGATATGGGGTGATGACTAGACCAGCATAGCAGGTTATTTGAGGCTGTCTTCTTTCTGTACAAGGTTGTTTCAATTTTGCCTTCTTTAGATACCTGTAGTGCTAGATCTAGAAAGCAAAGGTTTTGACCCCCTACTTCACTAGTGAATCGTAAGTTAAAATCGTTGCTGTTCAGCAGACATACAAATTCTTTGAATCTCTCTGATGTATCAAGCCAAATCAAAAACACATCATCGATGTATCTTTTCCAATAGAAGATCTGATTAGTGTATGATTTCAGCTTAGGATCTGCCCTAATACACCTTTCCCACCAGCCTAGATGGAGATTGGCATATGAGGGCGCACAAGTCGTCCCCATAGCTGTACCAGTGGTCTGGTGGAAGATTTTGCCATTGAACAGAAAGATATTACGAGTCAAAATGAATTCAAGTAATTCCATTACAAAATTCACATAATGTTCAGGTAGGTCAGTTTCAAGATTTAATAGTTGACGGGTATGTTTAATACCTAGGTTATGAGGAATTGAGCTGTAAAGGGCCTCCACGTCAAGGCTACACAGGATAGCGTGTGGAGGTAAAGTAAGGTTGGTCAATAAATGCAACATTTGTTTAGTATCTCTAAGGAAAGATGGTAGCTTCTGTACTACTGGGGACAGAATCTTATCCACATAAATGCTTACATTCTGAGTTAGATTATCACAACCAGAAACTATCGGCCTACCGGTCGGATCGGTTAGTGATTTGTGCACTTTAGGCAAGCAATAAAAAGTAGATAGACATGGTTGTTTGGTGCACATAAATTCAAACTCATCCTGATTAATGAGTTGATGATTCACAGCCTTAGTAAGCATAGTTTTTAACTCAGCTTGGAACGCTTTTGTAGGATCTTTTGCTAGTATGCGGTAAGTATTTTTATCGGATAAAAGTCTTTCAGCTATCCGAATGTAGTGGTCTCTGTCAAGTATCACCACATTGCCCCCTTTATCAGAGGGTTTGAAAATCAAATTTGTATAGCTCTGTAGTTTTTTCAGGGCTATTAGTTCCTGAGTATTAAGGTTGCCATTAGGGGATAGATAAAAATCATCCATTTTTGTCTTATCTATTTCCCTAGTAACCATTTCCAAAAATACCTCCAAATTTTTATAATCCTGAAAATGAGGGGTAAACTTACTCTTGGGTTTCAAATTAGTATGTGGTATATCAGATTGTATAGTACCATCTCCAGAGTTAAGTAATTCCACCAGAGTGTCTAAGCACTCTAAGTCATTTGGTGATAGACCCAAGCTTTGGGCCTTAGTTTCTTTACGTACTGCATGGTATTTATACAAGGCAAGCTTTCTCACAAAAAGGTTTACATCCTTAGTCCAGTTGAACTTGCTGAATGTTGGAATGGGTACGAATGAAAGACCCTTCTCCAATACGCTAAGTTCGGTCTGACCAAGGATGGTATCAGAGAGATTAATAATACGCAGAGAGGATACTATCATTCCCTGCGTCGTCTCTGACTTCTGCCCCTGTATCTGGTGTGCGGACCCTGAGTTAGATCCGCTTGTCTTAATCCTAAAAAATCCACCCCCTTTTTTAGAATACTTTTAGTTGGATTCCTAGGAATAGGGGTTTGAGGTTTTTCAGTTTCAGTATCGGTTGATTCGTACTCAGATGTACTGAATTGGTCAGAGTCTACTTTAGATCTCTTTTTAAAAGAACGGTAAATTCTACCTTGTTCAAAGTCCTTTATATCTCTCATATACTTCTGGTGTTTCCCCACTTTTATAATGTGAGAGAATTTGTCCAGATTGGATTTGAGTTTTATCTCTAGTGATTCAAATTGTGGTTCTACTTTAAAACCCTGGACCACCTCAATCTCTTTATCCAGTTCTAGTTGGACATTGGATAGTTTAATAGACTCATATTTACAAATAATACTCATGAACGTATTTGAGCATTTAGTAGCTGCCTCATCCCATTCTTTATAGAAGTCTTCCATCTCGACTTGTCTTGATGGAGAGGTCTGAACTCTTAGCCCTCTAGGGATGATATTTTTAGAGATGTATTTCTCGAGAG